CATGGGCATCCCAGGGGCGTGACCTTGCGAACGAGAGAGATCCCTTGGGCTAGGCACCACTTTTGTATCTGCTGGCCAAGCGCTCATTGGCACAGTCACCATTGGAGTGCCAGCCATGCCGGACGCGAGAGGGGACACGTTACTGGGAAGAACGATAGCGTCAAGGTCGTTCCTAAGCAGAGCACCGAGTACACCGCCTTCGCCAACCATCTGCAGCAGTTTTTGATATATAGGCCAGAATTCAGGTGAGGTGTTGTTAACGCCAATCCTCAGGGCTTCATCCCAAGAACGGGTGTCGCGGTCTGGATAGTCTTCGAGGGGAAATGTCTGGTCTATATGGCGCAGGTCGGAAAGATTATGGATATTGTTTGGATTGGTTTTCAATTCGGAACAGTAGTTAGCGATCCCATTTATGAGATCCGCATAGAGAATTTGAACCGGTAAAGGACTAGTCATGAATTCCTCATATGCAGAGTAGTTGGCATCCCTCACTATGATGGCCCCAGAATCAGCCAGCAGAGTCACAGCAGTATTAAAGGGTTCAATCACAGCAGGATCCGTGGAAAGAAACTCAAGGACATTTGTGGGGATTCCGATCCGCTTCCCTTTGAGCGCGGAATGTTGGCAAGCCGCCGGGTAGTCGGGGACACAATCAAAAGGGAACGCAGATGTGTAGTTGTCGCTAGAATCTGGGCCAGCAATAATTTGGAGGAGTTTGGCAGCGTCCTTAACTGTTCTGGCCATGGCCCCAACAGTGTCCAGATGCTGGCTGATGGGAATCACAAGATGGCGGGATGTGAGCCCAACGGTTGGCTTGATACCGACAATGTTGTTTTGTTGGCTAGGGCTAATAATGCTGCCACTTGTCTGGGCACAGTTATTAACTTTAAGACTCGAGACATCATTTTGTAGAAAGGGTGGAACAATTCAAAATACCTCTGTTCCGAGCGCGGCAAAGGCTAGACCTAAATCAGACGCCACGCCGCTCCCGCTCGAGCTGCCAGCAGGGTCTTGTCGCGGATAATAAGCGCCAATCACTTGGCCACCATACGCGCTCCAGCCATTGCTGGAATTTGAAGCGCGGAAACCGGCCCATTCACTTAAGCCTGCCATTCCTAAGATGATTACGCCAGCTTCCTTTAACTTTGCCACGACTGTTGAATCTTCGGGGAGTTCTGCTCCCAGAAGGGCATAAGAACCAGCTAACAAGAAGATAGTGTCAGCTGCCAGATTCATAAAAAGGGAATTCCACTGAGGATCCCAAGCATTCGAGAAAAGTTACATGTGGTATGCATCTTGTCCGCAACGCCGATATTTCCTTTAATGACAATGGGTAGCCCATGCAATGGTCTAAAAGAGTATGGTCAATATATAGTACTAAAAAATGTAGATGTTTGATTAGGAGTCACAAACCCGCGAATTTTCCCATGTCGTCGTTCCACATCCAGATGCCGCGCAATATTTACCGCGTCTGGGTTCAACTCAGCCACAACATGCAGGGTGTCGTTCACCTCCGCGATCCTTTTAATATAAGCCTGCGTCAAGAATTTGTCAACATCATTCATAGGTACAGGTATCGGTTTTTTTTTAGTGAATTGTATATATGGTCAACAAACATTCACTAAGTCAACGCTGGAGAAACATCTTCTGGACAGTCCAGCCTGGAGCTGCTCCGAGGTTGCATCGATTAAGGACGGATAATGACAGTGAGCTAGAATTCTATGGTTTAGCATCCAACTAATTGGCGCGGATATGGGATATATGATAAAATGAAAACCCAAAGGTTACCTTTGGGGCCGTCACGATCTGGCGAAGCGGCTACAGAAGAAAGTAGCGAATGCAGCTGCAAAATCCCTAGCAAGAAGGCTGGGAAAAACATTGTGATCTCATCTGAATACTGCGCAGTGGGAGCTTTTAAGGATAGTGAATCGGATTCGAGAGAGGAGAAACAGTAAAATTCAATGACTGCTAGGCAGAATATAAGATATCCGTTCGGAGGAAGGGGGTTCCTCAGCTCCTCAGCCAGTAGTCTCTGACTTTGCTGGAGTTGCAACGCAGGACTCCATTCATCAGTAGTCAACTAATTTCTCGATTAGGTCCACGAGTCAAACATTCCGTTCCATCCGATGTCACCAGGGCGCTCAGCTAATAATCCATCGATTACGAAAAGACCGAGCGGCTTTCGCGGGCATTGTGGAGAGAAAGTTGGAAAACAGCCCGATACTGTGGTCTGGCGCTAGTTCGTGGACAGACTGCTGGCAGTCAGGGGAACTAGCGTTGTGGAACCCTGCGGATGGTATGTTGGGGCTGACCCGAGGAAGCTCATGAACTATTCACCATCAATCTGGGGTCGCCGCGATCCTAAACGAGGGCATTTTCTCCTTGGATAAAACATCCTTGGGATGGCTTTTAACGGAAAGTTTATAGAAAAGAAGTACCAGGATTAGGGGTAGAAGTAGACGTAGATACAAACGAGATACTCCCCATTTTCACGAGAACCATTGTTGAATGTTATCTGCCTTGCGAAGCAGAGCACTGACCCCGCAAAGTCGGCCATACTGGCCCTGGCCCTGCTAGATCTAAAACCATATTCGCCGATGGAGCTGTGGTTGCAGTTGTCTTGGGATTCATCGACAGCGCAAGGAGAGGAGGTTGGGTTAGCTAAGCTAGTATCAGCGTTAGTCAGCAGCAGCTTGGCGGCGGAAGCTTATTCCAACGCTTTCTTTCAACGGAGCAACAGAGCAGTTGCATCTCGTCTGGGGAGGAGATAGATACCGGCCAGTAAGACCAAGATGCCCTCTCTCTGTGTTGTCTCAAAGGGCTAGATGGGCGATTTGCATCATTCGCATATGAGTATTCTTTCGTGGCCTTGATGTGCTTCCACCACGGTTCATATAGATTTGGCCACCTCTGCAATTTCGAAGGTCTTTATACTTCTGTCTATACCCATACTCCTTCCATCATTGCAATCCCATGAATAAAACAAGTATGCCGGTCCGTTCTCTGGATAGGGAGAGCGCTGCTGAGTTTGTTTCTGAATCATACTTCAAGATAATCTTTGCTACTGCTATATTAGTATGCATTGTAACCCGCGCATATTCCGGGATTCGGTCCCATTTCAGATCCACCAATGCTGGCGAAGCAAGGAGACCTGGAATCCTTCCATACTGGCTCCCGTACTTTGGACATGCCCTTTCCTTCGGGTTCCGTCGTCGTAACCTACTTGAACATGCTCGGTCAGTTTTTATTTTGACTTGCTCCACATTTCGTGGGGGTTGCTTCTCTAAATATTTGCATCTCTCTAATATCTTGTTTTAGAGACAACGTCCCAGAGTCTGTTTTCAGTCTCTACATCTGCGGCAGGAGACATAATATAGTCGCCTCCCCATCATTGGCAAAAGCTCTTTTGGCAGAGCAAAAATCGTCAATATCACCGGACGCTTTCATCAATTATGTTATGGGAGCGCGTTTTTGGAGCGCAGGAGAATACGAGAAATCTCACCAGGGAAGACTTTGACGCTCAGTGCAGATTAATGGAATTTCAAATGAGAGAACCCTTCGCATCCGACTGTTCATCTATTGCTCTCAGGCAGATTGAACAGAACATTCCAAACATGTTGTCGTTCTGCTCAAGCATAGTCGATCAGTCCTTGTGGGAGAGGATGAGCGCCGTTTCCCTAGCTAGTGATGGCAATGGTCAAGCTTGCGAGGTAAACCTTTATACACTGGTCCGCAACTTTGCCGCAGTAACTGTCATGTCAGCAATCATGGGTGAAGACTTTATGGAAGCACTTCCAAATACCCCAGATGATATTCGGACATTTAATAATAATTTCAATGCCATTGTCCTGGGAATTCAGCGGTGGGTTCCTTTCCCAGGACTTCCCACCTCATATCGGTCGCGACGAAGGCTTTTGCAGGGCATGGAGGCCTTTCATTCCGCTTTCGAAGTTGCGGAAAATGGCCACGACCCCGGATTCGACTGGCGTCAAATCGATGAAGCCTCCGAGTTCATTCAAAGCCACTGTCGAACTTGGAAAAACGCTGGACTAGCCGCTACGTCAATGGCCTCTGAAAGTCTAGCACTCTTGTGGGCTATGGACACGAAATTGAACACAATCATATGTTGGAATCTCATTCACATTTTGGCGGATGGTCCAACCCACTCTCAGGTCATGAAGGAAATTGCTCCGTACTCTCGAGCAGGCAGGCCAAACTCGGGAGAGGCAGGATTCCAACTACCAGAACCACCGCGACTATCGCTGGACGCCGATCGCCTTGTTGATTCTTGCCCTTTGCTCAAAGCGACATACTACGAGACTCTTCGCCTACACTCTTGTCCATTCAACTACCATAAGATCACCGAAGATTTCAAACTCACCGAATCTGCGGCTGATGCAAAAATCGTGAACCGAAAACGGCAAACCTATGAATTTAGAAAGGGGGAATATATCGCAATACCCCATGCTCTTCACAATACTGATTCACACTACTTCGGAGACCCGGAAGAATTCGACCCGGAAAGGTTCTTAATGGAAAAGGATGCGGATAGCAACAAGCCATCTGGCAAGGGTGCGACGTCTGAAAAGCGAAAATCGTCCGTCGCCCAGCCGGGGCTTAAAATACCAGAGATATGGACTGTGGAGAGTGGCGGTGGAGATACCGTGAGCCAAGATGGAAAATTTGCTGAAAGGGTAACGTTGGGATTCGTCGCTGGTTTATTGGCAATGTGGGATATTCAGCCGGTCAAGGGTATGGGCTGGAAGATACCGAAACAGAGAACTGGCGGGCTTGTTTATGAACCAAAGACAGATATCAGGGTCAGGATTAAGTCCAAGGTATAGCCGAAGGCGGAGGCTAAAAAGCGTAGTGGGCATTTTTTGTTTAATTTTCTTATTAACATTTTCACTTTCACAATATATATAGAATAGCATTCGATTACCTCTCTATTACAGCCGTCTAAATTAATTGCTGTCTAGATTGCGGGCATCTAGGTTTCCTAGCCGGATCACCGTTAGAAACGCAAATCCGCGGGTGGGAACCGTTCCTTGAATCAAATGCTGAGAGCCTCATCATAAACATTGATAGCGAGACATTCTCAGAGCCCAAAACACGAAATACCCTTCAAACCTATTCGCGACATAGTAAGGCGCAAAGGTTTATTAATTATAGTATGGATAGAATGGCGCTTTCAGTGCTGGCGTCAGCTTCGATGCTATTTTGGTAGACTACAAGAATCTGGATTGACCATAGAAAGGCGATGACTAAGCATAATTTCAGCCTCCTAAATAGAAGTCGCGTGTTAGAGGACGCGAGGTGTTTCTCCGCAATGCAAATTCCACCGACGACGGCAAAGATTGAGCAGGTCGAATGCACACTTCCATGACCGTTTCCGCTAAGGTATCCGCCTCACTTTATATCATATAAATTGTGCGGTCGCATGTTACGTTTGCCAAATGGCTTCAGAGATCGTTCGGCTGAGGGGACGCCCAGCCCGTAAGTCATCGCCAGGCTTAGATAACCGTGCTGAGTTTCATTAATTGCTTTAATTCACAATGGTCGTCCCGTTGGCTTTCAATTTCAGTGAGAATGACCGTATTTTCTCAATATAGATACGCCGGGAACTACCATTCTAAGCTACACCCCGAATGGCCGACAAGTAATCACAGCGGGTTCCAACTCTGCAATTCGAATATTCACAATTGGAGAAAAAGATGAACCAAAAACTGTGGATGATGGTGTGGACGGGCACTTGGGAATTGTTGCCACCGTACGACTTTTCGATTTCCATTTGATCGTGGAGAGAATGTTTGGCATGGAGGGCTAACACGCATTGGCTCCCAAATAGAACGACTCATTCATCATGGGCGCTGAAGACGGCACGGTATGGAAATATGAATTGGAAACGGGCCAAATGGATAAATTGCTGGTCCGTTGCGCATTGCCCGTGCGAGATCTATCTCTATCAAAGGATGGCGATTGGGTCGCCGTTGCCAGCGAGTATGCATTCTTCTTTTACACTCTTATGGCTCCAAAACGTTCCGAAACTGACTGTGACAAAATGATCTCAGTGAACTCGTCGTCAAGATTGTCAATATTCACGACATGACAATTGTGAAATATTTACGGGATCAAAGCAAAGGCGTAAAGCATGTGAACTTCGACCCGAGTGGACGTTATATTGCGGTATCTGGTTCCGATGGGATAATTTATATATATTCCGTCGACGGGCCACAGCCAGAGCTTGTGAAGAAAATCGATGGCATTATTGGCAGATTGGAAACAGACCATGAAGCGACATCACGGGCTGTATGGCATCCCGATGCAAGAGCATTTGCTGCCGTCGAGCCGACTAGAGATATTGCAATAGTTTCGACTAGAGATTGGATGAAACAAAACGTGTTCCCTGCTGGCCATAATGCAGATATTACTGCCCTTGCGTGGTCTCCAAATGGCGCTCTATTGGCAAGTGCTGGGGCAGATCGACAAATTTTGCTTTGGGAGACGAAGACTCAAAACATTCTGCGGCGATATGACATACCAAACGTGATAAATCTTGCGTGGCATCCTGTAGACAACACCCTCTCTTTCACAACATCCGACGGAGAGCTATTCATTTATGAAGATTTTGTTCCCGCAGAATACAGATCACTCCTCGAAAAACCATTGGAAAGCGCACCCTTACTCTCTGGAGGGCCTGAGGAGCATAGGAGTATCCCCAGCAGGCCGTTGACGAATGGCGTGCGAACTACTTTAGAAAGTCGGCCCAGAGATGGCTCCCCAGATTCCCTGGATGACATCCTAGGCTCTATGGACGAAGATGACGATTTTATTGAGGACGACGATGGAGCTGGATATGCAGAAACCAATCAATTCGGTAAGCGTTCTCGTGGTGCTCGCGATGATTTGGACGGGCATGATCATAAACGACGGATGGGCATGTTCTTCGAGCCAAAGCGACATGCTTCATTTCAACCTGGTAGTACCCCTTGGAGAGGTGACAGAAGATATCTTTGTAAGTCAATTGAGGTGTGGTCGCTCGTTATGCCCTCTACTAAACAACGATGAAGGTCTCAACTTAGTTGGATTTGTCTGGGCTGTTAACCAAGAGACACACCACACCGTCACTGTTGAGTTTTACGATCGGGAGCGGTTTAGAGACTTTCATTTTACAGATCCCTTTTTATATGATAAAGCCTGTCTGAGTACGTTTTCCACCCTGACTTTCCGCGCCAAATGTACTTGAGCTAAACTCTCGTAGATGAGAAGGGAGCGTTGTTTTCTTGCCAACCGTCGGGTGACAATCCAGCTACAATATTTTATCGCCCTCATGAGACCTGGACCGTACGAGCTGATTGGCGGACTCAACTTCCTGAAGGCGAAAGCATCACTGGTCAGTCGATATCCACCTGGGTGATTACGCTTGACTGCTAACAACGCATCAAACAGCCATTGCGCTGAGCAATTCTTATATTGTTGTCACTACATCGGCCGATTATGTCCGGATATATACACTTTTTGGTACTCCGTTCCGAATATATAGGCAGAAGAGCCAGAGCGTTACTTGTGCAGCTTGGAGAGACTATGTTCTAACTGTAGGAAACGGTCCCGTGGGCAGTGATGGAATGGCCACGTTGACCTACTCTATCGAAAATGTCAAGCGGGATGAAATTTGCCAGAACGAAGATCACGTAGCTCTACCCGATTCCACCGAGCTTCGGAGTGTTTTCTTTTCAGATAGTGGAGTTAGTTGTATATCCCTTTTTATATTGCTCTGGTGGAATGTAGGATGGCTAACATTCCTATAGGACCCCTATATATACGATTCTTCAGGCGTGCTGTTGGTATTGGAACACTGGCGAGATCGTGGACAAGCACGCTGGGTACCACTTCTTGACACCAAGCTCATGGACCGTCTTAGTGGTGGACGAAAGGAGGAGACGTACTGGCCGGTTGCAGTGGCGCAAGATGCGTTCCACTGTATAATCCTCAAAGGTGGGGATCGATACCCTTACTTTCCCCGCCCATTACTTAGTGAATTCGAATTCAAAATTCCAATATCCGCGAAGCCGTCGAAGCCAGTTGACGGGGATGGCGAAGATGAGGACATGGACGATTCTGCAGGCCGTGACTCTGTTAATAAGCTTGAAGAAGCGTTTATACGTTCCAGCCTCCTATTCAGTCTACTGGATGACCGTGTCACCGCCTCCGAAGCTACGAGCGGTAGCGGAGAAGTGGAGTTGCGGAGGAAGGAGATCGATATCGACAAGATCGTGTTACAGTTGCTGGCGATTGAATGCCGGGAAGGTGAAGAAAGGGGCATGAAGGCGCTTGAGCTCGTTTCCATGATGCGGGATCGTAGCGGCAAGATGCTGGATGCCGCGAGCAAAGTTGCCTTGCGGTATGGACGGACTGTTCTGGATGAGAAGATTAGGGAGTTGGCTGAACGGCGACTTATGGGAACGGATGGAGAGGATGATAATGACGAGCTTGCTTCATAACTGCCAATACGATATTTGGCTGCTATGACTTATCTATGTTTTAACCTTTCAGTTATACCATTGTCACTAAAATCTCTCTATACTATCGTTATAAAGTTTTCTTTTATAAAGTCACACTTAATGAGCCAGTTGCAAGGTTTAAATACAGTGCAGGGTAGGGCTCGATGATGATTGCATGACATCACCTACCAGTAGCTGGCCCCAATATTCTGCGTTCTACTACGTTCATATCTTATTCGCTTCTTCGGTTGCTTCCGATATGACTTCGTCTATAATCGTGATGTGGCATTTTCTCAGCACACAACCTACCTTCTTGCAACGGGTACTGAATCCATCGCCAATTCTCAAGATTTGCTATACCCGTTCTTCGACATCGAGTTCAAAGGTGAAGATGGAAGCCTATGGGGACGGACAAACCAATGTATCACTGGGTCCGCATCCTGTATTAACATGGTCGAAGCTCTGAATGATCGTCTGCAGGAGAGCAAGTACCATAGAGTCCAGCCTATTTAACAATGTCGCATTCTCCGTCACCATGAACGGCGTCACCGAAGCCCGGCTCTTCGTCGCATGGAAGGAGAATAACGAGTATTCCATGGCCAAGGTGGAGAGCTTTTTGCTGCAGTCGCCTGATCATTATTTAAAGTTCCGCAAACCTATCCGGAATATTCTGGACTGGGGAAGAAGCAGCCGCCTGGGTGAAATTAGGGGTGTCCTGGATGTCGTCTTTGGAGGAGATGGCGGGAATCGGGAGGTTCAGTGGAAGTTGAGATTCCACAAGCCTTTATCCGATGATTCTCCGGTAGGGAGGCGCAAGAGGCCGCGAGTCGGGCAATGAGTGTAGGATTATGAGGGACTGTGTATCTGAACAATATATAGCCAGATGTTTAGATTTCAATGACTTGGTGAGAAGGAAAAATTTTTGTATGGGGATCCTGGAAATGGAGCAACATATTTTATCTACCGCTATGTAGATTAGGAATACGAAGTTGCGCTGGAAATTATACGATGACCATGAAATATGAATTGTATCGTAAACATTGCTATGCTTGGCCGGAAGTGGATGCGCAGTTCTGATGAACTGAGTCTTTTCAAGAGGTGCTTTCTGGATTCTGCTGTCCTCTCCACTTTGTATATAGAGTTCCCTTCAGCGTAGCACGCCCCCATGCCCTTCGGGAGGCTCTGGGTGCGCAGGCGATGCCTGTACCCTCCAGGGACGTTAAACGAATACATACATACATACATACATACATACATTGCTATGCTTGTATTAAATATACATTTTAACGATACTGCCTGTCAACAGAGATGTTTGTAATAATCAATGACCCTAATCACAAATATGGACATGTGTCAGTGAGGCTGAGGAATCATGTATGAAAATGTCTGCGATATACATGCGGCAACTCTCCTGCGGGCTTCCTTCACCCCATGGCCAGCCCCTGTGTACATAATCACTTTATCAACATCCATATCCATGAGCCCCGCCTCTATAACACCCTTGGTAAGCTTGTGTGGTGCCTTGTACTGGACAATATAAGCTTGTATTGCTTCGCCGGGCTCCGTATTGTACACACAGAACTGATCGGCACGACGGCGACGTGATATTGATCGCACAGTTGGAATTAAATGGCGAGCATTCCCATCCTTACCGACCTTCTTGCGCTGCTTGCATACTGGTGACTGTTGTGGAGACCCGACGTCTGGTTCAGTGTATATGTATTCGGCACTTAGACTATTTCCGTGGTTTTCAAACCATATTTCACCCTTGAGAGGTTGAACATATTTCGGAGGCTTTTATTGGAATATAGTTGTCGAATAACAGCGGATACACAATCTTCAAAGACATAGCCCTGATAAAAGACTAGGTCTATCTCGGAGCCCAGTGACCTCTGCCGTAACTCATCGCCCGATTCGCTCAGTGTGTTCAAGGATGTGAAATGCCCTTCTAAAACAAAGTTGGTGGCAAAAACGTCCTTCCATACAAGTAACTGCTCCTGAGGGAAGGTGATCCATTTTCGGATTTTATTGGGGAGAAGCTTGGATATAGCAGTTTCAGGCATTCTTTGGTTCCGGTCTGGTGGTTGAAACGAGAGGAGAAACCATAGATTAATGAACGTGACAGGTATCTGTTTTTCCACCTGTCGTTTTTCTTCTTCCGCCTGTCGCATTGCATCTTCTGCCCGTTGCAGATCATGCCTCATTTTGGACAGGAGCGTGCGGGGCTCCTGCTCGTGGGGCTTCCCAGAATCTCGATGAGTTTTGGTCCTAAGCTGAAATAATGGGTTTCTCGCAAGTTGAGTCTTGCTGACAAAGTTCCAGATACCCCTCATCATGTTAACGGGCGCCTAACACTCTGGCTCGGTGTCAATATTACTCCCCGAATGCGGATTTACCGCCGCGTTGGGATCAAACATAATACTCGTATAAAAAACGTCGGTTTTCATTGGTATATAGAGGTTAGGGTAGCAATCTCTTATATTCAAAGCTAATCGCTGATCTCCTAGTATCTGCGGATATCAGCGAGCATTATATAGACAATATTGTCACTATCAGGAAGCGCGTAGAATGAAGCAGTGAGCCATCGTTCGAGTTTCTCGTGATTCGTCACGGTTCTATGCTGGAAGTTTCGAGTCAGCGGGGAAAGAAGACCCTGTTGAGCTTGACTCTAGTTTGACCTTGTGAAAAGACATATCGGGTGTAGAATAGGTGGGAGCTCTAGCGACGTTGAAATACCACTGCCTTCATCGTTTTTTTTACATATTCAATGAAGTGGAACTGGGCTTCACCGCCCAACTTCTAGCGTTACGGTCCCTCGCGGACCGGCCCGGGTTGAAGACATTGTCAGGCGGGGAGTTTGGCTGGGGCGGCACATCTGTTAAACCATAACGCAGGTGTCCTGAGGGGTTCTCCTGGAGAACAGAAATAAATCTCCAGGAGAAAGATGGTTGGAATAAGCAACGTCCTCCAACCCAAAAAGGGCTAGTGTACTACAATACAACGTCATGGCCTAAACCTGCCACTAACCCCAATTGGTAACTGTGTCCCAGGCCTCAAATACAGATCCCATCACCATCCTATAGTACATGATACAGTGAATTTTGGGTATCATGCACTCTTTGACTTTTGTAAAACACCTTGCTACCATTTCGCAGTGAGCCCCATGCCTCCTTAAACTCCAGAATAACGAACCATGGCGAAGGTCTGCTTCCCTCGTCATCTCCGCCAAACCAGCATCTTCCATGCCCAGTCCCGGTCCCCACATGCGGCGCAGGTCACCCCGCTACATCCTCCGACGGTGCATCTCTGTGACTTTCGCCATGCCGATAAAGACGTCCCCCGTAGATATCTAGCTCATATCCGCCGCGATGACTCAGAGCTAGACGTCCTGCGACTCACACCGGTTTACTTCTCTGCCAACAGGCCTCAGAGATGGAGTATGGGGTTGGGTAATGGCAATGATAACGGTGACTATAAACCGTTAGATGAA